AAAATATCTAAAGTACAGTGATTAATTATAATGATCCAAATAAATTGACAACTAAAGAAAGTACAATTTTCATTAAACTAGGATATTATTATTAATTTTTAGCCCTAATTTGAACAATACCAATATCATTCATAAGTCATGGAAAAAAAAAGGGACATTTTGGAAAAAGCAAAAGGAGAGAGAAAAATTTTAAAAGAAGCAAAAATGGACTAAAATGCCCTTATTTATTTTTAGATTTCCTAAGGAATCCAATACATTTGCATGTCTTTAATGTGAAAGTTGAGCGGTTTTTTTGTCTTTTTGAAAAAGCTTTGGCTTTTTCCAAAAGTGAATTTTTTTTATGTCTAAAGCCTAAAAAACCTTTCAAGGTATAAGGATATTTGATTGTCAATATTTTTTATATATAGATCTTTTAGTCTTTCAAAATTGCACATCCGGTAAAAAATTCATGCATCCACCAGTAAGTGGGTCCACTATATGGTGGTGAGTGGCCACAGATCCACAATGTTGAAGTTACTCAACAACTTCAACACATGGAAAAACTTGAGGAAAAGGAATTCGAACTCGAATTCAAAGCACACTTCGAGAAGGTGATTCCATCTGTGATGCCTTCCAGCCACATGCACATTCCAAGTGCTGCTGGAGTGGAGATGTCCATGAGACTCTGAAATGCCCCTTCTGTCCACACACCATGGAGAAATACGAATGTGATGCCTACCAATGTGTGTATCTTTGCGTTCATATAAATAAAAAATAATGAATGTATAATAAATAAACAAAACTTATGGTATGCTATGCACTAAACTTTTTCGTCATCGCCTATATATATATATATATATATATTTTCCTTGGATTTTATTTTAGCCCCTTGAGTTTCAATACTAATATTAAGCACGCACCATGAGAATCCCTTCCATAGGTACGTCCAAAAGTTGTAACCTTTTCTTTTCTCAAATTACTCACTTGTTTTGTTCCACGTACTTGCTTATTATTTGTAGACCGAAAAACGAAAACCATGCTCTGTGTGTGAAAATTGCTACGTGTTCAGTTGTCGTCGGCAAAAGCAACTTTTATCTTCCAGTCAACTAAAAAAAAAAATCTTACGAGTTGGTTGGCATATCAGTTGTGCGGGGACTTGGATTGGATCAACAAAGTCTTATCCTATCTGCTACGCGGTTTAATTATAACCAGACATTTTTGTTTTCTTTATATATAATTTTGTGTTCTTAATCTTTTTCATATGCATGTTTTCTTTTATAAAAATATTCAGGAGAATGCTCTTAATTACTGGAGCTATAATAAGTTCCTTGTCGTTCGATAGGTGTTTATCTACCTTCATAAATTGGATCCCCAAAGTCTCATCCAATCTATGTGGTTTCATTGAAAACAATACTACATTCATTTCTCATCTAATTAGAAAAGACATGAAAACTGGTTTTTCATGAATTCCTTTATAGTGAACCGAAATTCTGGATAGAAAGCTAGTGAGATTTTTGTGGTTGTGACTTTGTTTATGAGAATGTCTTTGTCCGGTGTCACGCCATGACCTAAATATCTCTTCTTGGTTTCGCAGAACGTGGTCAGTTGAACAGTAGTTGAACAGTGGCATTGATCATCCAACTTTCAACATACATCTTATTTCATATTTTTTGTTAAATTTTTTTCATTAATTTGATTTCATTTCCATTCATCCTTTTTATGGTTGAAGTTTTTTTAAATTTATCTACAGGCCTAGCTGGTACCATATAGTTAGGTAGGGCTTCGACTATCGAGTCTAGAAATTGTTATGATGTCGCTGGATAGTAGTGGTAGGGTCTCTATGTTTTATGCATATCTTTTCATGGAACCGTTATAATCAATAAATAGGGCAATTTAAAATTATAATTAATAAATAAAAATAAACTTTGATAGAATGATTGATATACTTTATCAATCATGAAACTTGCAGAGCATAAAATAATGGAACACACAAAGAGTTATTTTACATAGTAGAACCCTACCTCTAAAGAAAATTCACGAGACTCCTCAGTTCAAAACAAATTCACTATAGAATGATGATTATAAGAAGTACTCATACACATATCTTAGAAACATTAATTTAGATAATGTTTACCGATTTCTTCGTAACTCAACTTCTGTTACAGGATGACCTCCAACTCTCCTTATATTGAACTCGATACTGGTCACAATTGATTCAAGCTCACGGGAGAAAAATCGCCACCACGATCTTGGTACCATCAACCGTATGAGTCAGTGAACTATGCAAATGAATAGTATCATGTTCGAATTCTCATGATACTTTGGTAATGTGTGTGTGAGAAACCTCATCCTCCCATGAGAACAAATAAATCAAGAAAATTATTGTGGCTGCATATAAGGTGGTGGTTGGGAAACCAAAACGAATTCTGGTGGCAGGTGTAGAGATAAATAAAAATTTGAAGTGTTTTTTTTACACGCATAATTTTTTAGAAAATATCTAAAAAACAGACAATTTAGGTCGTCAAAATATAATACAAAATATGTGAGAAATTTCTTACTTCTTGTTATCTGTAAATCATGATTTTTTTTTTCTTTTTGTCTGAACATTATGCATTCTCCATGTTAATTAATCTTTTAATTAAGCAGCTATGGGTTCATGGCTTTGAGAGCAAACTTCAAAATCTGTGAAGCCGATGTTTTCTGTTTGGTCCTCATTCAAAAGAAAAAAAAAAAAAAAAAAAATTTTTAGATTTTGGATGCGGCAACACGAGGGTTGCTCTTCTTTTCTTTGCACATGTGGATGAAATTGAATTACCATAATTGCTTTTCTTTAGACTATTCCACTCCATGTCTCCTTTTTAAAAGCAAAAGGTCCTCTCCCTCTCTAGAGAGAGATCTCTCTCTTTTTTCTTTTTTCTTTTTAAAATTTTTAAAATTTATAATTTGTGATTTCCGAACAAATTTATTATGTTGAGAGAAGGAATGTTAAAAAGTTATTATTTGTCTCACCCAATTGATTTTGGATGCCCCTTTTTATTATGTATATGAAATACTAGAGGATTTACAATTATGTTTCTTATTTTTTAACTAAAATTTAGCCAAAAACACATAAAAATTATTTTTGGAATTTTCTAAAAAATTTGAACTCCGATCATACTCCCTAGTTTAGGGAGTCCTAAATACTTAATTATTTTTTAATTTAATATAATTGGTCAATCTCTATAAAAAATATTTAATATTAATTAAAAGTTTAAAATATGCCTAAAACAAAGCAACATTAAATTATAGAGAGACACTATGAGTCATTTCTCACTCCTTATATTTTAGGAGGTGTATAAAGAGCATAATTGGAGTTGTATTTTTCCAATTCTTTCGTAAAATTTGTCTAAGAATGCAATTTAGGGAGCCCATTGTCGATGCTCTTATATAAAACATAATTTTTGTATTAGATTATTTATAATCAACAAAAAATTAATTGGAATAAACAAAAATAAAATGATGAGTTGAGTTTTGAGGTGAAGAATGTTTTCCTTTTTTTTAGTACAATAATTTTTTTTTTTCGGGGGGGGGGGGGGGGGGGGGATTTACACAAATATTCATTGGGTGTTTAGGAGTTTCGAACCTCTACCTCACATGGGTGAAGATGGAAGAGCTCAACCAACTGAGCTATACTCAACAAAAGAAAAAAATACGAGTCTATGTTACAACAACAAACAAAAATAAAAACGAAGACACTTAATCTGCGCCACATTTTGTTGAAGAAAATCATTCCATGTGCTTCTAAGTTTTACATCATCTCTTTGGTCTTCACTCAGCAAATTATTGCCCTGCTTTGCTTCCTGTCATGTTCGAAATTAGTTTCTCTTTTCCTTATCTTCAAGAGCATTATCCTTTGGAATCTACTTTTAGCCTAGGCAATGCTTATTATGATATATACCACTTTACCAATTTTTTAAAATATGGTGGAGTCCACCAATATAATCGATTCGGCATTTATTAAAGAATTGATACACAATGTGGTTTATAAATGTGATATTCTTAGTATTTTTCATATTATGATACTTAGCAGGTTTGGTAGAAGATGGTCCCATTCACATGGAGACATTTGTGGTATTTGTGACACTTGGTAAATCAAACTATGTAAACATCACATGTGAATCACTAAATAAGATTATCATTATCTACGCGTTCACGTTTTTCTTTATCTAACTGAAAGTAGACAAATGTCGAGATATTTGCATCCAAGAGAGGGATCCACACACCTACATGCTTTTCACATATCCAGCACAGACTTAAAATAGAAGCAAAACAACTAAAAGAATTAAAGGGAAGAAGGTCAGCATGTTCATGACCTCATTGGAGGGCTGCAGTTCCTTCCTCAACAGAGACCAAGAGAGGGGCACCTTTTTTTTTTTCTTTGAGAAACTTGAAGAATTTACTTCTTAATTGCAAACAAGGATGCTCTTCAATATCATACAAAGGGACTTTCTGAAGGAGGCCAAAAAAAGGGTATTTTGTCATTCAGAATATGATGAAATTATAAGCGTGTTTAGCCAACTTTCAAACAGGAAAGATCCAAGTATCCTTCTAAACAAAAAAAAACCCAAAAAAAAAAAAAAAAAAAAAAAAAAAAAAAAAAAAAAAAAAAAGGTTTATTTTTGTTTTTTTAAGAAAGTGGAATTGCCCTCTCTTAACAAGACATAAACCTAGCTGATAATTTATTTCTTCATTTTAATATGCATAAAAAAGTATGGAAGATAATATTGCATATCATCTCTCTAGATGCTTCTATTCTACAGGTCCTTATCGGGAAATATCTCAATCCAAATTCTACACGTGGAAATATTTTATTGAGCTGGACCACACTTATATGCTACAGTCCAAAGTAAACATGGCTATAAATAGCGGCACTGGGAAGCACTAAACTGCATAGCCATAGGTTCATACCATCTTTCTGTTTTCTTCTACCATTAAGCGTTTTTTCCAAGAGTTGTTAAACCTGTAAGCCATTTCCATTCACCATGCTAGGCATAGCACAAAATGCGGGGAGCAAGGTGACTTCAGCAGTCACCAACACTGCTCACCACATTGAGGGTGAGCTGAGCCTCTTTACCATGTCTGACAACAAAATTTTGGAGCTCATTTATGCAACCCATGTTCATGAGGACGACTCGTTTGATGTCGACTCTCTTTTCTTGGTCACTGAAAACATCATCAAGCGTTCAACTCAGAACGTTGATAGCATTGTGCAGGTATGCTGCTACTCGTCTTGTCTTGTATTTTTATTATAAGAGAAATGCTAGCTACAGACATTAAGACGCGTGTTGATATCTGGGGCCATAGCTTGCCTTCGTCTTAGCGGTGATGTTGATTTGTTTTTATTTCTTACAAGTACTTTGATTCTTCATATGGTTGAGTTATGAGTTGGCTTTGTCCTACTTTAATGGCACCAGAAGAAATGAGGATAGGACAATTTCTTTAAATAAAGGACAAGTACATGGGACAATTAAGTCGTCTGAAGCACCAATCTTATTGGGGTCCCGGTCCCCAACATGACAGCATCTTTTGTAATTGTTTCTAAAAGTTGAGTAATCGCACCAAATTTAACCCAAAGTCACCCTAATCATCATGCTGCATTATTGCATGGTCCATCCATGTAATTTGGTTTTCTAAACTAACAGCTTTTTGGTCTTCAAGATAAGGGGAATGGGGTCCACATTTTTGCAATGCCAGAAAAAAAAAAAAACCAAAAAAAAAAAAAAAAAAAAAAAAAAAAAAAAAAAATAAATTTCTTTTTTCTTTTCTCTGAGGTCAGAATATTTTATACTGTTTTGGGAAACTATTTTGACAGAAATGTCTCTTAACTTTTTCTTCAAGAATATATATATTTTTTTCTCTCAAATGGGATATGGAGAATATTGTTAAAATTTTATTTTGGGACCTTAAAATAAAAACTGTGGTAGACAGAACCATTTGTAAATGCTCTATCTCATATCTATATATAAACTTATTTCCAAAACAAAATGAGTTCAGTTGTAGTGCCTTAATGTAGATATTATTGAGCTGGACAACTTGGTTTGAGTATTGCTTGAAGTTTAGACCATCACTTGTAGTAAAAAAAAATTAGATATGATTTACCTGAATAATTTGTGGATAATATGATCAGCCTCTCCAGTCTCCATTAGTGTCAATTTAATTTTAAAAGTAACCTGATTATATTGTTAGAAGAATTAGAAGTAATCTGGACTTATCACTTTGTTGAGCTTTTTGATTATTAGAACACTGCCATTGTTGATTACTTGTGAATTTGTTGCAGGGCACCCAAGTTCACGTTGACACCATAGATGAGAAGCCCCCCAAAGCCAGCTTCAGCTCCCCATTGTGCACTCTTAAGTCCATTGGCTGCGAGGTCATTAAAAATCACATAGCCTAGTAATTAATTCTTAATTCTCTTTTTTTTTTAACTCTTCCGCATAATTCCTTTAACTAATCTGCTATAATTGTTAATTCAGATGTCATGCAAGCCTCCAGGTGAAGAGATTTCCCACAAATCAACACTAGCAATACTTAACAAGGTTTCAAACTATTCATGGGAATCCAAGGCAGTGCTGGCCCTTGCAGCCTTTGCTTTGGAATATGGAGAGTTCTGGCTGCTTGCCAAGATTCATCAATCTGACCTCCTTGCCAAGTCTCTGGCAATCCTTAAGCGGGTGCCGGTGCTTCTGAAGCCTGCGGATCTCCAGAAGCGCAGGCAAGCGGTTATGGAGCTCAACGTTCTGATCAAGACCACATTGCAAGTGATTGAGTGTATCTTTGAGCTGGAGAAGCTTTCTACTTATGATCCGAAGGATGTGCCAGCACTGGCAGTTGCAATGGATCATATCCCTGTGGATGTCTATTGGTCTATCATAACTATTGTAGCTTGTGCCACTAAGATCACCCTTCTCACTAGTGATGAGTAAGTTCATGTCTATACAAGTTATAGTCTTTGTTTAAGGAACTCGTATCGGTACTCCAAAAAGATCATCCTGCACTCCGCCTTTTTAAAACACAAGAAAGAAATTGCCTTTGGAGAAGTGCAAGATGAGTTCTTTGAACAATATGCAAGAGAATTTATTGGTACTACTTTATGTATATGACTTTGGTTTTCTTTGGTGCAGGGAGAAACACTATGACCTATCCCAATTTGCTCAAAAAATCCACTACATCCTTAACAAGCTTAAGATACAATTGTTGATCTGCAAAAAACAAATTGGTGGGTACTAGTTTATTCATATCACTCACTACTTGTATATGTTGCACTATATATGCGGCGTTGTTGAATGCTAAAGTCTGTTCTCTGTTTTCTATTTGAAACAGAGGAGGCAGAGACCTATCGAAAGTTGAGGAAACTTTTTCAGACCCCTGCCGAAGTTATGGAGGTTTTCAAGGCCCTGATTTTCACCAAGGATACTGTGCAGCCAATCATTGATGGTTCTACTAACAAAACGGTTTGCTCTCATAGCACATTTCTTATAAATTAATTTAACCATTGCTCTTTGTAGTTTGGCACTTAATTTGCCGTTCTTCCTAATTGTTCAAACAGGTTAACATTGATGTGCTGAGGAGGAAGTATGTGCTGTTGTTCATCTCCACCCTGGACATTTCTGATGATGACATTTCGATACTCAAACCGGTTTATGAGGGAACAAAGAAAGAGGATAAGTATAAGATTGTGTGGATCCCCATTGTGGAGCAATGGACTGATGAGCTACGAAAGAAGTTCGAGCTCTTGCGGGCCAAGATGCCGTGGTACACGGTGCAGTATTTTGCACCTGTAGCCGGCATCAGGTTCATCAAGGAGGAGTGGCACTTCAAGGGTAAGCCTGCAGTGGTGGTGATGAACCCACAGGGCAAGGTGGAAAACACCAATGCCCTCCACTTGATTCGGGTTCATGGAATGAAGGCCTTTCCTTTCCACAAAGGGATAGAAGATAAAATCACAAATGACAGAGAATGGATCACCCCCATTGTGAATGATATTCACCCAAGCATACAGACCTGGGTAATTAAATTAATTTTCACAACTGCATGCATTTTAACTCAAGTTTTACAATGTGCACAAATAAATTCATGGTTCGATTTAACTTGTAACATATTTGATTTGATCCATTGACAGATCAAAGAGGAGAAGTTCATTTTCTTCTATGGAGGCAAAGACAATGACTGGATCCAGCAGTTCACAAAGAAAGCAACCATCATTGCAAATGATCCCTTAATAAAGGACTTAAAGATCAACATTGAGCTGTTCTGTGTTGGGAAGAGCCCCAAAGGAGGGGAAGACCTTGGCGTTCTTGGGCGCTTTTGGAACGGCATAGAGAGCTTGTTCTTCACCAATGTCAACAAGCAAACTGACACTGTGACCAAAGAAATCCAAAAGCTGCTTTCCTACAAAAACGAGAGTGGATGGGCCGTGCTTAGCAAAGGGTCTACCGTGGTGGTGAGCGGTCATGGCTTCACAATCTTGAAAGTGCTTGATGACTTCGACACATGGAAGACCTTCATAAAGGAAAAGGGATTTGAACTTGCGTTCAAAGCACACTATGAGAAGGTTATTCAGACTATGAAGCACTGCAGCCGCCTGGATATCCCAACTATTGCTGGGAAGGTGCCTGAGACCATGAAATGCCCCGAGTGTCCTCGCACCATGGAGACATATGTGAGCTACAAGTGTTGCCACACTGATGGTCCCATTAACGCACATCACTAAAGCTCTTGTTTCTGCTGAGTTTATGAGGGCATCAGATGCCATAGTAGTAATATTGGAATAAGTATTATGCTTTCTTGTTTTGGTTTCTACAATAATCATGGGCATTTCATTACTTTGGTAATGTGACGTCCACCCATGTGAGTATGAGTCTGAGTCTGAGTGTTGTGTGCGCGTCCAGTATTGCAAATGTAATGTTCATCTTTGTTGTTGGATATTGTCATGTTATGTGATCGGCCACAACTTTTTCATCATCGCTATCATATGTATTTTCCTCGAATTAGTAGCCGCTTCAAGATTTGTTGTTGCTTCTTATATGTGCTCTAGGCATGGAGAAATGAATATTTTAGCATCATGAAGCCATTCGAAATGGTTGTTTCTCTTGAGACTATGATTTATATGATGCCAATAGGAAAAAAATTGGTAGTAGGTGACAAGACCACTAAGACTAAAACCAAATGACTGTTACAACAATTGTTCTAAAAAGACCACTAGATGAGTAGCTGCTACGACTAGACAACTACCTAGAAAAACTGTAAACACAGTAAATCACAGAAACAGATTAGGATGAATAATGTTACATCCTATGGACCCGTCAAGTTATGCTCTCATACTCAACAAAATATTAACAAAGTTGAAGTCATCCAACAATCAATTCAGTATGTCATGGCTAGTATTAAATAGGAGTTTCATGACATCAATATCACAAGCAAGTCTGGCCCAAAGCCTGTGCGGTTTGCATGGATGCTAGAATGAGTTGTTATTGTGAGGGGTTATAATGAGAGGGTCTTTAATAACTGTTCGATCTAGTGCAAAGTTATTATTGGACTGTTGGATTGAACCCCTCATTGTAACCCCTCAAATTAGCCTCTCATTATTGAAGCTCCCGTGCGGTCTCTGCACTCACATAGCGTCCAAACATAGAAGGGCTCTTAGAGATGAGTAAGCCCAGTAAATAAGAGAACAAAAATGGCCTTTTCGCAAGTATTTGGTTGATAGTTTGGGCTTTCTACCTCTTTTCTATTACAAGGAGACTCCTTAAATTTTGTGAAAAGAATAGGTCTATTTTGTTGAGTTATGTGAAGTCCCACACCAAATATTTGATAAAATAAGTACAGATAATGAATGATATCACGATTAATAACATCAAGACTTTTTGTATAACACTACACAAATGTCCAACTGTGCAGACGGTTACATTTGGGACATTATTGATGTTGGTAGTAGTTTTATTGGTTTTAGTTAAACTTTTTATTAGTACATAAAGGGGGCCTCAACCTTTTATTTTGCACAGGAACTCCTAATTCCAACGCCCTTGATCGCAAGGTAGCTAGCCTATGGAGGTGAAACTGTGGCAACAGTTTACTCGACACTTCTCATCTAAACTGAGGGAGGTACAGGTGGTTTAGTGTTTCCCAAATTGACTATTTCACAAGGAATGAGGAAACTTAAATTGAACTTCAATGAGTTCTAGCTCAGTGGAAAAGGGCATTGACTTGCAAACCAATGATCTCATGTTCGAACCTCTATGATACCTTGATATTGTGTGTGTAAGATACCCTATTTCTAAAACCCTATGAGGTGCTGCACCCTCTCTCTCAATCCCTCATAGCCTTGGTGTGCAGCTCCAAGAGGTCACACCAGCAGCTCCAAGGGACCTCCAAGCCTATTTTCATGGGTTCCAAGAGGTCGTGCAACCTCATTGTGGCTCTGTCATTGCCCTACACCATTCCAAAAAATGACATATGGACCTATTGAATTTAATTTTAATTATTAATTACTTTGATGCCCTATTAAGTGTTTTGTTTATTTTTTATTTTTTATGAGGTTTTAAAGTTGAGCTTGTTTTAAGAAATCGATGGTAGTTTTGTAATTTATAGGGAGTTCGAAACCTCTTTGTTATGTTGTAAATGGGTTTTGGATGTATTTTTAAAGTCCATTTCATGTGGGATTTTAATTTTAATTTTAATTTTTATATAAAAAAGGCCCTGTATTAAGTATAATAGTAAATCTCCCTAAAAAAACTTGAACTGAACTTTTGGTCCAACAAATTTGATTCAAATCCCAAAAGGGTGCAAACCCCAAAACTTTTGGTTCAATAAATTTGGTTTGATATCTCAAATTTATATGTTTAGCCGCGTTGTGGTTTGCTATTCACCGAGAACTCAAACTCTATCTCTTTTTAGAGCCACTTGTCTTGTTCCAATAAGATTTTTAACAAGCTTAAACATTTTGCTTTTCCCGTATACCCACTGCAGCATTAACACTTTTTTATTTATTTATAAGGAGCACTAGATTAGATTGGAAAATGCCTATATTTCATGTGCATTTATAGTATAATATGGACATTGTTGTCTAACTTGATGGATAAATGGGGACTATGAGAGGTTGATGGCTAAAACTTATCCCATCTAATCTCCTTGAAAATAGGGGATTATGAGGGATAAGTTTCAGTCATCAACCTCTTTTGAATAGTCCTTCTTCATCCTCCAAGTCAGTGGTGGAGCCAGAAATTTAAGTAAGAGGGGGCACCTTTAAAAATTCAAACACTTTCTTTTATGACAAATCAACCTAGTTTTTAAGAAATCCCTAATTTTATCACTTTTCTCTATTTTTTTTTCTTTACTTTTTGTATGAATAACCTATCACTCTTTTATGATAACAAAATACATGCAATCCAAAAGAAATTTAGGCATAAAAATGAAAGAGAAACAAAGAAAATAGAGGCCATTTAGGAATTTGTGAGGAATTTTATAATATTTGTACAATATACTAACATAAAATTGTATGTACAACAATAGTTGAGAGGGGGCTAGTGCCCACCCTGGGCATGCACTGGCTCCGCCGGTGCTCCAAGTTAGATAACAATGTTCATAATATGTCTTGATTCTAGTCTAGTCTATTCTAATCCTCCCTATCAACAAGCTCTAAGTATCCATTCCCTCCTTTTCCCCTCATTTCAGTTTTCTCTTTTCTCTCACGTACACTCACTGCTCTTCATCTGCTACTCTTCTTCTTCTTTTTTTTCTCCTCTATCCCCCTTCTAATTCCTTTCATTACTCTTTATTTTTTAAAGGAACCTAAACTAAATAACGATAAAAATTACATTGTGGAGTAGGCTCAAACAAGTGCCTAGCGCTTAGTGCTTGAACACTCTTGTACATATATGTATTATTTTGAACTATTTTTGGTTTTAGATTAGAGTTATTCATATCTTGATTCTATAATACATGTTTTTCATGTTTGTCAAAAAGAAGTAGATGTGAAAACTTGCACAAACGTAACATAGTTGGGACCTCTAACCTGTCCAACACGCCTGTACCCCTACTTAAAATGTGTTTAGTAAACAATTGTATGAATTATATAATACTGAGGTAGATACTTCTCTGAAACAGGAAGAAAATAAATAAATAAATAAATAAAGTGACGTAGACACTGACCCAAAATAAAGACGTAGACTACTATGAGGTCGGCATTAACGGTGGATGACTTTGTCACTTGTGAACTGT